TTCGGGGAGAGGGGCGGGGCATGACGCCTAGCCTGGCAGGTGGCAAAGTAAAGCCTGGTGGGCCGCCAGGCTTATAAAGCGCTGGGGGAAACCCTGTGTGAGTTAGTTAAGATTCACATCCTCTATAAAGAAGTGGTATACAGCCTCAAAGGAGGTTGTTGAGTGGATTATCACAAACCCTTTCCTCTTTTCCTCCAAACTTTTTCTGCCTCTGTCAGTGTGCCAGGGGAGCTGTGGCTACATCGTAGCTCATCACCACCAGCGTGTGGATGGTTGGATCACTGATTGTGTTGTGAAGCACCTTAGGGGGTTGTAGCACCCTAAGAAGGTGCTATACAAATACAGGCTATTTATCATTTAACCATTTTGAAATGATTATAATGTTACTCTGATCAGATCCGTTCCTACTTGCATTTAAAAGCTTTAAAGGTGTGGAACACTGAAAACCCATTTTGTATTGATTATTTCTGATTATATTCGGTCACTCTTGAGTTTTTAATGAAGGCTGAAGAAGAAAAAATGATGAACGCTATTTGAAAAGCCTGACTACTCTACACCAAGCGGTCGCTTGGTTTCGTCCATCTTGGTTTGCAACAAGGGAGGCTGTTGTTTTAGCGTTCAAGAAACCTCATTGAACGTCTCTGCTAGCAGAAGATAATCATTAGCATTAGCAACTCCACCACAAGGTTTTAGAGATAAAACATTTACATTGCAAGTTAGTTGTAGAGTTGTGTTGCTGTTATCCAATCAAAAGCCAAATGTCCAAATATCAGAAAATAAGACTCCAAAACCTTCCATTTGAAGCTTAGCTGTGATTTGTGTCTCGACTAGATCCTGATAATGGTACACCGGTACATTTTTTCCCCCAATAACAACTTATAAGGCATTCATTTCTACTAGAGACTACAACAAATGTTAAATAAAATGAGTGAACCACACCTTTAAACTGATTTTCTACTTTTCTGCTTCAATTTTGTGATTTTTAGCAAAGATTAATAAAAAGTTAACTTGGTGAGAAACAAAACGTGTCTAAAAAAATAAAGGAAAACCTTTCTAGTTCCTCCTTTCAGTGACTTTACAATTATTGCGTCACAGCAAATGTTCACTTTGCCAAACTCTCAACATGTTTTGTAAGAAGGTGTAGTTTGGTGCCACGTTTTTAGAATATTTTCTGCTCTTTAAGGATTAGGACTAAGAAACATTCCTTTCCATGTTCTGGATTGTTCCAACGAATCTTGTGTTTAGTTGTGCTGGATAGTTGCAAAACAGATAAATGAACATTTTGGAGGTGGTCTTCCATCAGGTGAGTGCGAACAAGGTCAACAACTCCTGCAGGTTCTGGGACATTCCCCCAGTTCAGAGTCAGTTCAGAGCTGAAGTAATCCATCGGAAGTCACTCCTCACATGCTGCTCGGAGGAATTTTTACGTGCTGATCATGTGCCCTGCTTAGCCCTTCCTTAGAAATGTGCGCCGAAGACGACCTAAAAGACACGGCCCCTTTGCTTTCCTCGTTATTTTAGTATTGTTTGTGAGTGGGTGGGTGGGAGGGAGGGGGTGAGGAGGGTCGCCAGCCTGTTGCTTTCTAACAGATGGAGACTGCTGCTGTTGCTGCTGCGGCATCTGGCTTGGACAGTTTCTATGGTAACCCACCCACAGGAGTATGTATGACCAGTGAAGAAACTAGGGTTGCTAGGTCTGTGGATAACGATGAGACTTAGCTTTTTCTTTCTGTTTCTCCCACGCAGCAAGAAGTGAGGATACAGGGGCTGTAACTTAACCATTCCATCAAGTTAACATTTGATATGCTTTATTCCATCATAACTCAGTGAACTGATGCAGAGATTTATATATATTTTTAATACATTTGTTTCTGGCCTCGTGTTGTGCCTTTGACACAGCAGCACGTCTTTGTTCGGTCCTGCAGGCTTCTGCTCCTCTGGGGCATTCACTGAGTAAATGCCCGATTGTTCTTGTCATCTGCGTGTTTTATACTGATTGGGTTAGCAGCATATGACCCTCATTAATGTTCTCAGTATAATTTTATCTTCTCTTGGGTGGAAACATGTCTCCTTCAGATGTAGTTTTATTTACTTTATTTAGCTGAATCATTTTGACATGTTACAATTTATAAAGTGAGAAGGAAAATCAGCAAAGCATGACTATCAGTACAATTATAATTGCTGCCTTTCTAAAATGTAGTTAGGAGTAGGAATAAAAATATCAGTCAAGCAGAGCTTCCTTCACACGTTCCTACATTCTCATTTGATTTGTTTTCAGACTGCACTACAAAAAGGATCAAATAGGATTACGCTACTGATGCTTGCTTTGTATTTAAAGGAACTTGAGCTGAAACAATAAGTCGACTTCCTGGAAAATTTGCTGACAGACTATTGGTTTTAGACAGGGCTGGCCCAAGTCTTTGTGGGGCCCTAAGCAGGTTTCCCTTTGGGGCCCCCCATACTAACAAGTCAACACCAGATGATTCATCATTCCTAGACTACACCATTTGTGTAACGTGTCTACTATCATTGACATCTTTTGTGATCATCTTACATAGGTGTTATTATGGATGTTGAGTTTAACTTGATTTGATTTGCTGAAGCGGCAAACCAACAAAAATGCTTGAATCAATTGCATTTTGATATGCAGAGTGTTATTTAAGTGTGGCATATTAATTCAACTATTTGAAAGAAACAATCACTGAATTTACAGTAAAAACGTTAGGTTTACTATCTTATGTTCTTCAAACTTGAAACGTGTAAAATGTGCTGCACTACAAAATAAAACCAAATGACACAACAGAAAATAATATAGATGCATCATTTTTTCATGTGAAATATTATGTAGTTTGCATTATTTTAAGTTATTAAAACATTTTTCCCTTGTGTCATCTTGGTGCTGTTGGGCTCCTTGGTGGTTTGGGGGCCCAGAGCAGTTGCCTAATTCATGCATGCCTTGGACGACTCTGATCTTAGATTTTAAACTGAGAGTTTTTATATCTTAAAGTAACACTAAACAGTTTCCAGCTTCTCTGTCCTACTGGTTGAAAGTGAAATTACAATTTTCATAAACAACCCTGCAGCAGCCTGCTGTAGCTAGCACTAACTACAAGCTTACACTAATATGAGCCAACTGATACTTAATAAGCCATGAAGTAAAATATGATTACTTAAAACTCCATCAGCAACAAAGCCAGGTCACCATCAGCCCATGAATTCATAGCCTCTTTTAGCTCCCTCAAAGGAGTGTAGGCTGTGCTAGTTAGTCAGGTGTAGCTCTTTGCTTCACCTCCAAAGACACAACTCTGTGACTTTTGCTTCTAGGCTCCACCATGATTCAAACAAATAAAACAAACTTATTTGTGTGTGTGTGTGTGTGTGTGTGTGTGTTATTCAGTCACCGAACTGATGGAAAAAAAAGAACTGCTAGCATTTATAACAGCTACTGGCACAGAAACTAGCTAGCAGCTGGTAAAGAGCGCCCCCTAGGGTGCTTTTTACAACAGAGAGTGTCTTTACAGCAGAGGGCTGTCCCATGTGATGTAAAGTTTCTACCTACATAATCACTGAATTGGTACAAGTGTTAAAAACTGCTTGGTGTCACTTTAAAAAAATGGACACTGATGTAAGTTTTAAGAGATGAGTTTTGATTGATGTCAAGTTGTTGTTGTTATTGTTGTTGTTAGCCTCAAGGGCAATATGCCGATTATAGACAAAAGCGTCTGCTAAATACATAAACATAAACATAAGAGTGGGACGTTGTGGAAGAAGGGATTCATTTGAGGTATTCTCTCAGATAGGATTGACGAGCTCACGGCTAGTTTGATTGGGGTCAGCAGTATTAATACTTGGAAAAAATCGTAAGCTGCATTTTGGGGGAGAAAAAAAAACGATTGAAAGATCTGATCCCTTTTTTCATGCTTTCCTTTAAAGTAAGATGTGATGGTTGCAGAAAAGAAGTTTGAGCGGCAATGGCTTGGTGGTGGAGCATACCTGGGTCTGTGTTTTTAATTGGTGGGGAGTAAATAAGTATTAAGCTACCTGAAAGGCTATAATGAAAATGAAATATAACAATTTCTCAAAGTTTCTGACCCATTCTTTTCTAACACATCTATTGGTATATGATTATTGAATCATGCCCTGCTGCAGTGCATACTTTATATTATGGCCTGGCCTTAATGTCGGCTGCAATGAATTATTGTGTTTGATTCAGGCAGGATGTTAATGAGTGACAAAATTCTTTGAAAACGATGTGGCCCTTATTCCTGTCTTGTTTTTCGCTCTGGCCTGCACTCCTCTGTTCATACACTAGGTCTGGGCACGGAAGTCTTATTTTTTGGTTTGTCAGCTCTTTATCCTACTGTGTCAGGTCTCTGATGAATTCACCTGGGGTTATATCAACTAAAATTAGACTCTCAATTATGAGCAATTACTGTCAGACCTGTGGGCCCTGCAGCGTGTTTGCTCTATCGCCCACACCGGCGCCGCGCCACCTCTGTTCCTCACACACATTGGGAAAGCACCTACAGTGAAGTGGAAGTAAGCTGGGAGAATTTACACTTCCTCAATTATTTTTCTTCACTTCATTTCCTATTTTGTGACAAAGCTCTTCTAAAAACCGTCTGCAGCGAAGCACACTGAACGCTATACAAGCACACTCGCCTTGCAGACGTTCTTGAATTGGAGCAATGTGCATAAATATGCGGTAAATCGGTCACATGCCACTAGTCATTGGAGGCTCGTGGTAATTGTGTGGTTATAATCTAATCACTAGCATGCTGCACAATAAAAGGCAAGAAATTCTTAAACTGTAGCTGAGCTTCACTAGAAAACTCAGGGTTTGAATTTATTTTCATAAGCTACACTGGGTGCTTTTTGTAGCAAGGTTGAAACAAACCAGTTGTAGCTACTCCTACAACTCAGCATAGTCTGCCTTTTTCCTCAACCGACCTCTTTACCCTACAAAATCAAATATTTCCGCATTGTCCTTTTTTCTCCAGGTCAGGAACGATTTGGAAATATGACACGGGTGTACTACAAAGAGGCCGTTGGAGCATTCGTTGTGTTCGATGTGACGAGGGGCGCCACGTTCGAAGCTGTGTCCAAGTGGAAGCATGACCTGGACAGTAAGGTGAAGCTGGTCAATGGCAACCCCATCCCAGCAGTGCTGCTTGCCAATAAATGTGACCAGAAGAAAGACAACCTCAACAATACAGCGTTAATGGACAATTTCTGCAAAGAGACTGGATTCTTGGGCTGGTTTGAGACGTCAGCTAAGGTGAGAAATCGGCACAAAAGCATACAGGAAGTGATATTGCCATGCACAGCAATCAGAGATAATTGTGAGGGTTCAAAGTAGATCATCATCATATGATGTCAGCTAAAAACATGCTGAATATATGGACTGAAAGTCTGAATATATGGACTGAAAGCTATGCTTTAAGTGGGTACGGTTTGCAGCAACATGCACCGCCACTTCACACTCTGTGACATCTCGGCATACCGTTTTTAAATACTTTTTTCTAGGCGGTGCGCAGTGGTAGATTTTCGGGTCATTTATTAGTCGAAATCTCCGAGTTCTAAAAAAATATCTGTCCCTCCAACATCAGCCATCCACAGTCCGAGCCCAGCGCAGCCACTCCCGATACGTCGCACACATGCTCCATGAAGGTCCGCATTTTGCTGCCGTGAGACGCACAACGCAATCAGCCCTGTCAGCACAGACAGGAGACACAAAAAAAGACACGTTATCTAACACTGTCCACGTTCCCGCAATGACAGCAGCAGCACCTGAACAGCCGTTGGTTCGATGGTTAGATGCTCCACAGGCAGGAGGATGGAGCTGGACATATATCCAAACAGAAATACAGATCATTAGCAAACTCTGAGCAGGTTGGAGGAGTCTGATCGCTGCTGCAGTCAGCTCAATCTCTGACGGGGATTTCCAACTTGTGAGGGGGGTGCAGTCATCCACCAGCTTGGAGTAGAGCACCGGTCGTTCTTGGATTCTCCAGAACTCAGATTGCCGGTCCACTTCTGCACCGTCTATAACTTTCACTCTTTCACTCCAAAGGCCCAACAACATGAGTGCTTTTGACTCCGATGGTCAGTGCCACCCCAAATGTCACAACAGGGTGTGCTTTGTAGCCTACCAGTGTTATGAGTGTTAAAGAGAAAATGACAGGGAGAGAAACAATGCTTAATATCATTTTTGTTGCTGGAAATAACACAAAAGCATTGTTTGTACCATCTGTCAGTCAGCTGATGGTTTCACATAGGGGTGTCCCCATCACTAGTGCTGCAGGAGCACATCTGCACACCGCTTAGGGCAGGCTGTTTAAACAGTTTTTAGGAAGATATATTTTCAAAATATCTAAAAATCCATTGTTTCTATTAAAAACATTCCAAATAATCCATAACAACCTTCTCAATATATACAATGATCATTTCTGATATATTAAAGAGTCATTCACCCCCCTAGCGTCACATCCACCCACACTTCCCGTTTGAAAAATGCATGTAAAGGAGATGTCATCTGGTGGATCAGCAGAGCTGTGGCGCAGAGGAAGTGACTGACATATATTCAAACTTCGGTCTATATATTCAGACTTTCAGTCCATATATTCAGTTTTTCTGTCCATATATTCAGACTTTCAGTCCATATATTCAGACTTTCCGTCCATATATTCAGACTTTCCGTCCATATATTCAGACTTCGGTCCATATATTCAAACTTCGGTATATATTTTCAGACTTTCAGTCCATATATTCAGACTTTGGTCCATATATTCAGACCTCTTTCCATATATTCAGACCTCGGTCCATATATTCAGACTTTCAGTCCATATATTCAGACTTTGGTCCATATATTCAGACCTCTTTCCATATATTCAGACCTCGGTCCATATATTCAGACTTTCAGTCCATATATTCAGACTTCGGTCCATATATTCAGACTTCGGTCCATATATTCAAACTTCGGTATGTATATTCAGACTTCGGTCCATATATTCAGACTATGGTCCATATATTCAGACTATGGTCCATATATTCAGACTATGGTCCATATATTCAAACTTCGGTCTATATATTCAGACTTCGGTCCATATATTCATACTTTCAGTCCATATATTCATACTTTCAGTCCATATATTTATACTTTCAGTCCATATATTTATACTTTCAGTCCATATATTTATACTTTCAGTCCATATATTTATACTTTCAGTCCATATATTCATACTTTCAGTCCATATATTCAGACTTTCAGTCCATATATTCATACTTTCATTCCATATATTCAGACTTTCATTCCATATATTCAGACTTTCATTCCATATATTCAGACTTTCATTCCATATATTCAGACTTCGGTCCATATATTCAGACTTTCATTCCATATATTCAGACTTTCAGTCCATATATTCAGACTTTCATTCCATATATTCAGACTTTCAGTCCATATATTCAGACTTTCAGTCCATATATTCAGTCTTCGGTCCATATATTCAAACTTCGGTCTATATATTCATACTTTGATTCCATATTTTCAGACTTTCAGTCCATATATTCAGACTTTCAGTCCATATATTCAGTCTTCGGTCCATATATTCAAACTTCGGTCCACATATTCAGACTTTCAGTCCATATATTCAGTTTTTCTGTCCATATATTCAGACTTTCAGTCCATATATTCAGACTTTCCGTCCATATATTCAGACTTTCTGTCCATATATTCAGACTTCGGTCCATATATTCAAACTTCGGTAATATTTTCAGACTTTCAGTCCATATATTCAGACTTTGGTCCATATATTCAGACCTCTTTCCATATATTCAGACCTCGGTCCATATATTCAGACTTTCAGTCCATATATTCAGACTTCAGTCTATATATTCAGACCTTCAGTCCATATATTCATACTTTGGTCCATATATTCAGACCTCTTTCCATATATTCAGACCTCGGTCCATATATTCAGACTTTCAGTCCATATATTCAGACTTTCAGTCCATATATTCAGACTTCGGTCCATATATTCAAACTTCGGTATATATATTCAGACTTCGGTCCATATATTCAGACTATGGTCCATATATTCAGACTATGGTCCATATATTCAAACTTCGGTCTATATATTCAGACTTCGGTCCATATATTCATACTTTCAGTCCATATATTTATACTTTCAGTCCATATATTTATACTTTCAGTCCATATATTTATACTTTCAGTCCATATATTCAGACTTTCAGTCCATTTATTCAGACTTTCAGTCCATATATTCAGACTTTCAGTCCATATATTCAGACTTAGGTCCATATATTCAGACTTCGATCCATATATTCAGACTTCGGTCTATATATTCAGACTTCGGTCCATATATTCATACTTTCAGTCCATATATTCAGACTTTCATTCCATATATTCAGACTTTCATTCCATATATTCAGACTTTCATTCCATATATTCAGACTTTCATTCCATATATTCAGACTTTCATTCCATATATTCAGACTTTCATTCCATATATTCAGACTTTCAGTCCATATATTTATACTTTCAGTCCATATATTCAACCTTCGGTCCATATATTCAGACTTTCAGTCCATATATTCAGACTTTCAGTCCATATTTTCAGACTTCGGTCCATATATTCAGACTTCGGTCCACATATTCAGACTTTCAGCCCTTATATTCAGTTTTTCAGTCCATATATTCAGACTTCGGTCCATATATTCAAACTTCGGTATATATATTCAGACCTTCGGTCCATATATTCAGACTTTGGTCCATATATTCAGACCTCGGTCCATATATTCAGACTTTCAGTCCATATATTCAGAATTTCAGTCCATATATTCAGTCTTCGGTCAATATATTCAGACTTCGGTCCATATATTCAGACTTCGGTATATATATTCAGACCTTCAGTCCATATATTCAGACTTCGTCGTCGTCGTCTTCCTCCGCTTATCCGGGTCCGGGTCGCGGGGGCAGCATCCCAACTAGGGAGCTCCAGGCCGTCCTCTCCCCGGCCTTGTCCACCAGCTCCTCCGGCAGGACCCCAAGGCGTTCCCGGACCAGATTGGAGATGTAACCTCTCCAACGTGTCCTGGGTCGACCCGGGGGCCTTCTGCCGGCAGGACATGCCCGAAACACCTCCCCGGGGAGGCGTCCAGGAGGCATCCTGACCAGATGCCCAAACCACCTCAACTGGCTCCTTTCGATCCGGAGGAGCAGCGGTTCTACTCCGAGTCCCTCCCGAATGTCCGAGCTCCTCACCCTATCTCTAAGGCTGAGCCCGGCCACCCTACGGAGGAAACTCATTTCGGCCGCTTGTATCCGCGATCTCGTTCTTTCGGTCATTACCCAAAGCTCATGACCATAGGTGAGGATTGGGACGTAGATCGACCGGTAAATCGAGAGCCTGGCTTTCTGGCTCAGCTCCCTCTTCCCCACGACAGATCGGCTCAGCGTCCGCATCACTGCAGACGCCGAACCAATCCGCCTGTCGATCTCCCGATCCCTCCTACCCTCACTCGTGAACAAGACCCCGAGATACTTAAACTCCTCCACTTGAGGTAGGACCTCTCCCCCGACCCGGAGGTGGCAAGCCACCCTTTTCCGGTCGAGAACCATGGTCTCAGATTTGGAGGTGCTGATCCTCATCCCAGCCGCTTCACATTCGGCCGCGAACCTACCCAGCAAGAGCTGAAGGTCAGAGCTGGATGAAGCTAGGAGGACCACATCATCCGCAAAAAGCAGAGACGAGATTCTCCTGCCACCAAACTCGACACACTCTACACCACGGCTGCGTCTAGAAATTCTGTCCATAAAAGTGATGAACAGAACCGGTGACAAAGGGCAGCCCTGGCGGAGTCCAACCCTCACTGGGAACAGGTCCGACTTACTACCGGCTATGCGGACCAAACTCACGCTCCTCTGGTAAAGGGACTGAATGGCCCTTAACAGAAAGCCACCCACCCCATACTCCTGGAGCGTCCCCCACAGGGTGCCCCTGGGGACACGGTCATAAGCCTTCTCCAAATCCACAAAGCACATGTGGATTGGTTGGGCAAACTCCCATGCCCCCTCCATCACCCTTGCAAGGGTATAGAGCTGGTCCACAGTTCCACGGCCAGGACGAAAACCACACTGCTCCTCCTCTATCTGAGATTCAACTATCGATCGGACCCTCTTCTCCAGTACCTTGGAGTAGACCTTTCCAGGGAGGCTGAGGAGTGTGATCCCCCTATAGTTGGAACACACCCTCA